GTCCGCGTCGGCCGTTATCAGGGGGGCCGACACCTCTCCACCTCCTCGACTGATGGCGGCGCGGCGCGGTCAGTAACCGCCGCGGGCCGCGGGCCGTGGGCCCCCCTCGAGATCCAGTGCAGGCAGATGGGGCCGGCGTGCTTCCGCGGGGCCGGGGCGGGGCGGGGCCGGCGAGGCCCGCGGGCCCGCGGTGCGGCGGGTGCGGCGCTGCGTGCCGCGGGCCCCGGAGCGGCGGGCGCGCTGTGCCGTGCTGGCTGGGCCGCGGCCGCGCTGCGGTGGCACGACGGCAGGTGGCTGCTGCATGGCTGCATTGTGGTGGCCCGGGCCCGCGAGCATGCGGTATGCAGGGGGCGGGCGGGGGGCGGGGCGGGGCAGGATAGGACGGGAGGGGATCGCGCACAGCGGCGTTACCGACCGCGTGGCTCCGCACGGAGGGCAGAGCCGTGCGCGAGTAGCAGCCCTCCTCTCAATGCCCTGTCCAATGTCCTGCTGCAGCGGGCTACAGGCTCCATCTGTCTCGGATGGCACTCTGTTGGTATCCTTTGGGGGGTCCGGGTGGGGGCGAGTGCGTCTGAATCTCTATCCGCGGCGTGGATTAGCTCTCCGCTTGATTACGACAAGGCCCCCGCACAGGCCCGCGGGGGGAGTCGTTGCACGCCGAGTAGCGCACCGCTCTGTTCCGCTTGTTATCACCGCCTCGTCAGAAGTAAGCGCGAGGGGGGCGTGGCGCGCGTCGTCTGCTGCCGCGGCTGAGCGGGAGATCGACTCCATCCACGATCTCAACAAGATGCTGGACAGGCTGAAACGAACCCGCGAGCGGATGACGTCAGGCCAGCCGACTGATTCCGGAGAGCGCTCTCCTATACCTCCCTTATAGCACCGTTCTTGTCGCACTCGTGGGGCAGCACCCCTTGAGCACCTTGAGCGCTCTTAGGCATCAGTCTGCACTGCAGGAGGTCTGGCGGCCGCCGGGCTGGTTCAGCGCAGTGTGCGTTCCTCGTGTCCGAGATGGGCAAATTTTGGGGGATTTGGGAGGCGATTTCAGGGCGGAGCGTCACGTCGGTAACGCGCGTGCCACTACGACGCGCACACCTTCCCCACCCTCTTCTCTTCTTCACACGCACTGCCTTGCTGCTGCTGCTGCAGCGGCGGCCACGGCACGGCGACGACGTCGACCTATGAAGTGGAGCACGTTGGCCTAAAATAAAAGGAGTCGGTCGGCGTGGCGTCGCGCGGCGGAGCGGCGCTCGCGGCCCCCTCCCGTACAATGGGCCGTGGCCGTGAACGCATTCATTCGACTTCCCGCCTTCGATCTATCGAATTGATCTCGCGGTGTGTGGCGGTAACGGTGCGCGCCAGCGAGCGACGGCGCGACGGCCCGGCGTCGCGCACTCGACGATGTCGGCAAGGTGTTGGTGCGCCCGCAGTACGCGCCGGCCGGCGGACTGTTGTTGGCCAAAGCGACTTTATAAACACGCGACATGATCAATTGCGTGTGTTCGCGGATCATGCGAGAAAAGTGAGGCCTGTAGGTGTCCCCCCCTCCCTCAGACACCGCCCTCCCCTCCCACGCTGCGACGGTTGAGACGTCAACAAGGTAGACGAATTGTCTGAGCTCAGCCCCGCGCTCAGGGACGCCAAACAAGCGCACCGCTCGGACGCCACGGGACGGAATTCATGTCACACCTCGAGCTAATCATGGTCTACGTAAACAGGGTAAATTTTTATTTTGACCAACTGTACATCATAAATTTGTCACTACCGAGACTTCAAAGTTGCATGTTGCAAAATATAAGCGGGATCAGACGTCATTTTGGAACCTAAACGCACTTGAAAATGGCCCCAACGGAAACATTTCATTTCTGTCAAATGTTTCCCTGAGGCACAGTTGGCTGAATATCAGACACGTCGTTCAGTGCGGCCAAATGGCTTCGCACGACGACGGGAAAGGGGAAAGATAGCGATGATGTTAAATGACCTGAAAGCACCAAAATGTCGACAATAAATCCAGAAATATTTTTTTTGAAACACGCCACTTACAGCTCTTTGTGGCCCAGTGCCTCCTCCCCAACCCGGCCTCACTCTACTACACCGTGTTCCACTCAACCCTGCCCTTGCCCCACTTACATGTGTGTACAGCCCAGTGGGGGGTGCGTTTTGCCAACACGACTCGCGAAAACGTTCCACACTGGCCCTGCCGGGTGTGGAGAGAGAGACACGGGGGGGAATCGTGACGACTTCCACGACCTCCACCAAGACGACTGTTCTCGGCCAGGAAGGAGGGAGTCTCAGGTCCCCGACGTCATCAGTCATCATCCACCGCATCAACGCCGCATCACCTTGGGATTGGGAGGGATTTTGCCCTTTTGCTTTAAGGGAGGATTTGACATGTCCGGGGCTGATTAAGTCTTGGACCGCGATACTGCGACACTGCCATGTTGCTAAAGAGACGGAGCGGGGCGTGGAGGTGGCAATGCCCGCCACGTTCTCTATTTTTAACCGCCACGTCCTCCCTCCTCCCGCACCTCCACCACGGTCGAGCATGTTGAATGCGTTTCCCCCCCGCGCGATTTCTCCTCCCCCGGTTTCACACTTTGGTTACGGGACGGAAACGCTATCGGCTTTGGCCTGAAAGGAGACCAGCTGAGCACGCTGCTGCCTCTGTTCGCCGGGCCCGATTTTGTTTTTATTAACCGTGCATGCGAAACGTACGTGAAGAAAAGGACATTCCGACCGGCTGATTGGGCGAGGCATATTCATACGGCGGCGGGCGCTGAGTCACCGCGTCGCGATCTTAAATAGTCGGCGCGTCACGGGCAATACAGTTAAGCGCCCGGCGGCGCACGTCGGCAGACGAGCTTCAAACACTGGCTGGATTGTTTATCACCGACCGGAATCCATTCAAAGTGATGTTATTTCGATGTTTTCCGCTTGATGGAAAAAAATTGACAAAATTGAGAGGGCTCCCATTCCCCTACTTTTTTTTGGCAGTGTAGCCGTGGCGCTTCCGGCTCGTTCCCGCGCTGCCCCGCTTCCGGCTGGCCGGTCTGCTACTACTGGACCGTACGGCCGGCTGGCCGCAGTGCACTCTACTCTCGAGCCGAGCGGCGGGCAGAGCGGGCCCTCTCTACCCTGCGGGTCCCTACGGGTCCCTACGGGTCCCTACGGTCCCGGCGAGCGTTACTCCACCCACCCCCTCGCTCCCCCGACCGGGGGGGGGGGGGGGAGCACGCCGTCAACGCGGCACGCCGTCAACGCCCCGCTCAAAGGATCGGCCGCCGTTGGGGCTGCCTACCCTGCAGGCGCCGCCGGGGGGAAGACCAGCAGCTCAGGGGGCGGAGGGAGCACGCAGCCACCGGGGGCCACCAGCAGGCCCGACCCGAATGTCACCCGCGAGGCACTCGGCTGATTGTGTCCGCGTCGGCCGTTATCAGGGGGGCCGACACCTCTCCACCTCCTCGACTGAT